TGTGTCCCCTCCCAGATGTTCCTGTGTCCTCTCCTGGGGGTTCCCGTGTCCCCTCTCAGGGGTTCTCGTGTCCCCCCCTCTCTCCACCCCCCACCCTCGGGGCAGCGCTGCCGCTCCCGCCCGGGTTCCATTCACAGCCACAGAGAACACGGAGCTCAAACGCGTCCAGAGCCGTCTCTGCCCCCTCCTCCTCCTCCTCGTCCTCCTCCTCCTCCCCCTGGCCGCCCTCCTGGCTGTGCCTCAGGTATTTCCGAGCGCTGGAGCCGCTCCCGGAGGCGCTCCGGGCGCAGGGAGGTGCGCGTTCCTCCCCCCGCGCAGGAAGAAGGTGACCCGTCCTTCGCCGTTCGTGACACTTTGAGCATTTCCTTTGGGGTTATTCAGGGAAAAGAGAGGAAGTCCGTCGGGTGACGAGGAAACGGAGCCCTGTCCCACAAAGGCAGCGGCGCCCGTTAACCGTGACCAGTGCTTACCGGGGGCACTGCCGGTCGGGCCCGCGGGGATTTATTTAAAGCCGTGGTTTCAGGCACATGGCATGAGCCATGTGAAGGCGGCGGTGTCCTTGCAGAGCAGCTAATTCCCGTCTCAGATGCGCTGCTGGCACCGCCCGGGGGGCACAAACACCGACAGCTGGGGGCTGGCTGTGCCCCCGCTCTGCTCCACACCCTGGGGGCTCTTCTGCTGCTCCGGGGCTCTGCCGGGCAGCAAATCCAGCTGTGCCAGCTGTGCCAGGATGGGACAGTCCTGCTCCTCTGCTCCGGGGTTGTGCCAGGCAGCAAATCCAGCTGTGCCAGCTGTGCCAGCTGTGCCAGGATGGGACAGTCCCGCTCTTCTGCTCTGGGATTGTGCCAGACAGCAAATCCAGCTGTGCCAGCTGTGCCAGGATGGGACAGTCCCACTCTTCTGCTCTGGGGTTGTGCCAGGCAGCAAATCCAGCTGTGCCAGCTGTGCCAGGATGGGACAGTAGAGCTCCTCTGCTCTGGGGTTGTGCCAGGCAGCAAATCCAGCTGTGCCAGCTATGCCAGCTGTGCCAGGATGGGACAGTAGAGCTCCTCTGCTCCCAGGGTTCTGGCAGGCAGCAAATCCAGCTGTGCCAGGAGGGGCTGTGCTGGGGTCCTGTCCTGCTCCTCTCTCCTCTGGTCCCAGGTTTATGCCAGGCAGCAAATCCAGCTGTGCCAGCTGTGCCAATTGTGCCAGGAAGGGCCGTGCTGGGCTTCAGTCCCGCTCCTCAGCTGCCCCAGGGTTGTGCCAGGCAGCAAATCCAGCTGTGCCAGCTGTGCCAGGAGGGGTGGTGCTGGGGCCCAGTCACGTTTTGGGATGCTGAAATAGAAGGAGAATCAGAATAAGCCATGCTCGGGGTTGTACAGAGCATTTACTGGCTCTTGTGGGCGTGAAAAATCCCTCGGATGGGGCAGAGCAGTGTCTGAGGGCACAGCTGGGTCATTGCTGGGGTCACTGCTGGGGTCACAGCTGGGTCACTGCTGGGGTCACAGCCGGGGTCACTGCTGGGGTCACTGCTCGGGTCACTGCTGGGGTTCAGGCTCCTCCGTGGCTCCTGGGTGTTGCAGATGCTCAGGAGCTTGCTGGGCTGCCAAAGCCAGGGGAGAGGAGAGGAAGAGCTTCAGCTGGGAGAAGAACAGGCAGGAGGTTTCATCCTGGGCAGGGAAGGAACCAAATCACGGAATCAGGAAATCCCAGGACAGTTTGGGTTGGAAGGGACAATAAAGATCACCCAKTGYCACYCCCTGCCATGGGCARAGACACCTCTCACTGTCCCCAGCTGCTCCGAGCACTCAAAGCTGGCCTGAGACACTGCCAGGGATGTGGTGTATCCCTAGGGGGGTGGGGAGAAGCCCCAGAGGATTGGGGAGTCCCCACGGAGTTCCTGGAGCTCCAGGAGAGCCAARGGAGGGACACGGTGATGGATACACAGCGAGCTGGTTTGGGAGGGGCTGAAACCATTACCGGCATCAGCTGCAGATGGGTCAGGAGGACCCTGGGTGCTGGCAGGGGTGATGCTGAG